GGCCGCGCGGCGAGGGCGGGGCCGCGCGGCGAGGGCGGGGCCGCGCGGGCTGGAGCAGCTACCCACAAGGTTAGCTGAGCCACTTTACCTCCCTTGGAGGAGAACTGCTGCTGGAGTCTAGATGTTTTGAAGGTTTTGCAACTCAGCCACTGTCTATAACTACCCGTTCTCTGCCTCTTTGCCTTTGCTATAGGTATGCCTTTCACTTGGAAGTCCTGCCCTTCCCTCATCTCTCCATAAGTTCCACTTTGCCTTTCAGCTTTTTCATCTCGAAAATTCTCCAACAAGGCAACTGTGCAGCGGACCTACAGAGTAAACAATCCAGACTGAAACAAGCTCAGGGGCTGCCCTATCGGCAGCTGACCTGTGCTGATCTGACATGAGGGGAGTTGTTAGGATGCTCTGAACTTTCCCAGGCACCATCAATAAGGAAGCAAGCCCCCTTGCCATTGGACTTCTACTGAACCCCCACCTTTGACTATAGCTTGGGGGGAGGGGAAGAGCACATTGGTACATTGGTAAATATTCTCTGATATCCTGTCACAGTGGTTGGATGAGGATTTAAGGGCTAATTTAAGATGTATTTCTCATTCTAGTTCCAGGATCCCTGAGGGTAGGCTCTGTCCCTTCCATTCACCAGCAGGCCTTTAGGTAGCAGTGAACTTGGGGCCATCTAGAATTGCATGGACAAGAGACCAGGAAGTAGAGTGGTGCTTAAGGCTCTAGACTCCCACATGGCCAACTGCAGTTCTAGTCCCAGACCCAGCAGTATGAAAATTATGCTGGGTGAATGTGCATGCATGCCCAAAATCCTAAGAGGAGAATGGAGAAGGGATTTCAATGTGGCCATCCTCCCAGGGAGAAGGAGTATTTCTCACTTTTCCTCTTACTGTCTCTCTCTCTCTCTCTCTCTCTCTCTCTCTGGTGTCTGTGCCTAATGGCCAAAACCAAAAACTACCTTTTAAAAATTGCACCAACCACCATTTGTCCTACCTTGAGCCTCAATTCCACCAGATAACAACAAAACCTTAATATATCTACCTTTTTTCCAGTCACGTTAAGGCCTTTTTACTAATTACTAATTATTGTTATCAACCAATTCAGAATTTTTTTTCCCTTTGCTCCAGGCTATTACCTAAATTGCACGAGACTCCTTAATTCTGTTTTGGTATCTGGAGAGAACATTGGCAACCTGTCCACGCTAGTGTGTCCACTCAGCACACAATGCCGGCACCCCTTCATGCTGGCTTCCAAATGAGGTGTCCTCATCTTGACCTGCTTCCTAGCTACACAATCCACGCCACTTTCAACTGTGACATCCTTGGAAGGTGTCTCTCTCTCTCTCTCTGTCCATGCCCTTCTCAGGAGCATAGGAAAATTCAGGTGCTGTTTCATGCCACGTTAGTGTCATAGGAGCATCCATTGGGCTGAGGGGTATAATGAGAATTACCTGTATCTATTCGGCTGATGCCAGTGAGGGCTCTCTCACCCTGCACAGAGTGCCAGACAGGGCCTTGGACACTGGGGTGTGTGAAAAGGTGTCCCAAAGAAGAGCCTAATGCAGGCTGCAACTGCCACCAAGTGTGCTGGGCACAGACAGCACTGTTTCCAGAAGTGGTTGTCTCCAGATGCACATGGCAGTTCTGGGATTTATTGGGTCTCAAGGTAGATCGGGGCTGCCCAGAGGTTTGCAACCCAGAACCACCAACCACTAGCTCCCACCACCACCACCCCGCTCCCTGGAGCTCAAGAGCAGTGAGTTAACTGCATCACAACCAGATTCTGAATCTGTTGCCCAAGGGTAGAAGCAATGCCCTAGGGAGCATAGGGGCAGACAGGCTGTGCACAGCACAGCCTTGACCTTTGCAGAGCTCCGACCCCGGGTCACATATGGTGCCAAGTACTTAATGAAATGAAATGATTCCCTCATCACAGAAGAGCTATGTTTGCCTCTGGACTTACTGTATTTTCTGAACTATCTCCCCCTCCCCTCCCCTCCCCTCCCCTTTCTTCCTTTCCTTCCCATCCAGTTCTCTCCCCTCTCTTCCTTCTTCCCTCTTCCCACTCCTCCTCGCCTCTTTTTGTCTTTCCTTTTCAAATACATATTTTTTCATCATGCCCTTCTTTGATTGGTTCAGCCAGCTCAGCTTTGGCCAGGCAGATCAGATAGGCAGGGTTAGGAGCTGGCAAGTCTTGCTCTGTCAGAGCCAAAAGCAGAGAATTTCAAGAAGCTTCCACCAGGAGTCGTCTAAGCTCTGGTGTTTGTTAACACAGCTTAAAAAGTACTATTAAATATTTAATAAAGCATATGTTTGAAACACAGTAAGTAAAACAAATGTTTAATCGGGTCCTTGGAAGTATTTCACTGTCGCTGAGTGAGTATGGCTGACTCCTTTCCATTTGCATTGCACTCATCCAAATAGGGAGAAACATTGGACCACCCCTCTTCTCCCACTTTGCTATGTTACTTTAATCTGGGAAGGGTATCTATCTCCCCAGATCTATCTTTACAAAGAGACTGGGGGAAGGGGAAGGATGGTGGCTGTTTAGGGACAAAGGAGTTCTCTCTCACATGGTCCAGGGCTTCCTCACATAGGCATGGGTGAGGGAAGGGGCTTCTGGTCCCTCTGGCTTGCTGGTTATAAACCAGGGTCTGTCCTGTGGGCCTGGATGGCAGACAGCACACACCTGCTCTCTGACCCTGACAGACACATATTTCTTGCAAAGGGGAGCCCACAGCCAAAACAACCAGGGAAGCACCTAATCCCTCTTGCCAGTGATACAGGAGTGTCACTTCCTAAGGAAAAGCCAGAGGACAAGACAGACTGGGGAACACTGCCTGGGCTTTGCTCTCACCCCGTGGCATGTTCCTTCAAGGACCTGTCTTACCAGTATGCTGTGAGCACACCTCAGGCCTGAAAGGAACCACCAGAGGGAAGGAATGAATGAAAAAAAGAAAGAAGCAAGATATTTAAGGAACACAAAAATAGAAAATTATCAGTCGATGATAATGTATATGGTAGTATCTTGGACTGAACCAATACACAGTGTAATCATGATGGGAAAATCCTTTTGGGATGCTATAATGACACATAAGGATTGAATGTAAAAAAGTTTAGGAAGAGAATTTTTAAAAAAATAGATTTTTTAAAAGTCAAAAATGAGGGACCAGCAGTTGGCACAATGACTATGTCGCTGGACTCCCATGTAGCAGACCACAGTTCAAGTCCTGGACCCGGTGGCTTAAACCCACACCAGGCGCGTGTGCATGCATGCCCAAGATCCTGATAGGAGAATGGAGGAGGAGAAGGGATTGCAGTGTGGCCATGCTGCCTGGGGGATGATTTCTCACTTTCTCTCTGTCTCTCTCTATCTTCCTGGCAAGCACACGTGCCCTATACCAAAAACCTCTCCAAAAAAAGTCAAAAATTAATAAATAATAATAATAAAAAAAGAAAAAGCTAAGACAGCCTGAAATAAGACACCTTCCAGGGAAAAACCAAAGGGGAAGGATCTTCCCAGGCACACCAAATCAGCACACACCTCTTCAGACAAGGGCCCACCAGAGGTCAGCAGCTTACACTGAAACAGCAGCAGGGAGTACGACCCTGCCAGCTGGCTGGAATGAATCAGCCTTCTTCTTCATGAGACTAATTATCAAAAGGGTAATGTGCTTCGTCAAGGATTTCAATTCCATCTTTACCAAGACATGAGTGGCCTATGTACTGCACACTCTCATCCCCTTATGATGGAAGAAATGTGGCATTTCGGAAGCAAGAAATATCACCCTTTGTGGAACTGGCATAACATGGTATTTTGTAATATTTTGTAAGCTGACTCTAGGGCACAGCGCAGTCCAGCCTGAGCCAAGGCAGACCTAGACTGCAGGGCTTCAAACTGTGCACAGAGACAATGCTCTACAAGCCTCCCCAAGGAATGGCCCAAGAAGAGTCCGGGAGAATGGAGGCCGGGGAATGGGCTTTGCCTTATAGCCGAGCAGCAGCCTGCCCATGATCTGCTGGATATAGCAGCCCCCTTCTGCAGACTGGATCTCCAGCCAGACCAAGACATTATCTGGAAAGGTTTGAAAATGAGACTAGCCAAATGAGTGAGAAGGAGAACAAGTGCTGGCCTCTAAAAATGCTCACGGAGGTCCACCCGCAGTGGCGCGGGCAGAAGAGGCCCACGACTGGAGACATTCGGGAGAGCCCCAGCGTTGGATCTCAGGATGACTTGTGTGTGCCAGGCGTGCCTGTGAGTGCCTGTGATCCCGGCTGGCGGGGAGGTCAGGTGTTGGGGGATTGTGGCACGGTGAGGCCCTAGCAAGGGTGCGTATTTCTCTCTCCCTTACTCTCTCTTTCTCTCTCAAGGAAGAAATAATAAACTTTAGAAAACCGCTCATGGAGAAATCTGAGGGAGTGCACTGTGGAGGGCACTGCATCTGGAAGCCATCTTGGGAGCTTCTTGAGAGCTGTCTACCATCTTAAAAACCTTAGGCTTCACTTCCTCATTGAGCAAACCATGCCTCAGAAATAATGTTACCAACTGTTGCTAGGCAATGGGGGATCCACCCACATCGATGATTGGCTCATACTGTTGTATTTCATTTTTGGGCAACCAATTGGTGCCCACTAGCCTGTATATAAAGCACAGTTTGCTCTGCAATAAACGAAGACTTGATCAGCACCTCATCTGGTCTCCACTCTGTGTGTG